TATGCACGAAGAGCTTGTAACACTCCAAAGAGAAAGGAAAAATTGAAATCGCATCATATGACCCCTTTGATGTTCTTGTGTAATTAAAATACTGCTATAACGCCATACTTTTAAAGTTTTAATAAAGTTACATGTGCAAGGTACTTTGCAAAGACGTTGTATGACCAAACTGTTAATGGACTAAATAAAATTCAGAGCATTTATCTAATAAATGAAATATTGCTTTTGGAACGTTTTTAAGGACAGTCTTATTTGATTCAGCTCAAATTGTCCAGAATTATGAATATAAGAATCAGGCAATCAGCACACTAGTTCTCATGATTGTGAATTTGAAATGAGTTGGTCACTCTCATCCCACCCAGAGGAAGGGAATTTACTGAATCACATTCCTTTCAGATGAATTCAAGACGATCACGTTTTGTATCAAAAACGTTTTTTCTTTGTCTGTTGTAGAATAAGCTACATTTGAAAATAACAAAATCTAATTCCTCAAGATAAGTTACATTATAAGTTAATAATTTTTATGAAACAATTATAACATATCACTCAAAGTCACAGAATAGAGCTGTTCAGTCATTATGTTAATTTTTAAGCCAGCCCTGGTTTTATGTCTACTGTGAGTTCTTTCTTGAATTCCCTGTGGATTTGTAGAATAACCTGTTTTTGAGTTATGGGCAGTTTATAAACATACTTACAATTTGACATGGAATGAAAATTGACCCAATCTATTTCAAAATGCATGTTATCCATGCTGAAAAAAATGAACAGCTAAAACCAATCTAAGCTGGTTGGCTGGTCTTAGCTGGTTTAAGCTGGAAGTAGCTGGTTTTAGCTGGTCTCCTTTAGCTGTTTGATTAGGGTTTGAAATTCTGCAGGATAATGTGTAAAGTCAAGTCCATGTGCTGCATTTTTTCTTCTTCAACACTGTTTCACTCGGATGTACATCACAATACGGAAGAAAAGATCTGTTGCTACACCCATTTCACCTCAACTTTAAATACAACAACTCCAGTAATGTTAACTAATAACCACAGAACTTTTTATACCCATAAATCCACAACTGTGTTTCTAAAAACCCAGAAGGAAGCTATGGCTATGTTATTTTTCTTCTGGGTTTTTAAGACTAAAAAAAAAAAACAGCTCTATTTTGATCAGTCTGTACATGTAGATAACTCATATCTTTTTAAAAATGTGTAGGAGTACAGCATTAACCAATTTTCCACAAAACATAAAGAAATAAAGTTTTCCACACTTTCCATGGTCAGTGCTAATGTTGAGGGAACCTAAGATATGAGGCCTATCATTTTCTTCATAATGATTTAGACATTTTGTGCTTTCAGAGAACAAAGAGCACATACGTCAGACCCTGCTGTTTGAGGCCTCCAGTTCATAAATAAGGAAACTGACCGACTTATCACCAACCACTTTAATCTCATTTCTTCTTGCCTCACTGGAAACATCATCACACATTAATCGCAAAACTCCCATATAAGAACTGGGCCTCAGAGGTGGTTTCACAGGTGCTAGTGTGGTCAGTGTTCAAGTTTATTTTTTAAGTTCAAGTTATTCTTAAAATAACTTGCTATTCTGAGATATGAAGATATAAAGTCAGACTTGCAAGATGTAAACTTGTGATTGCAAGAAATGAAGTCAGTATTGCGAGATATACACTCAGAATTAAATATAATGTATAATAATTTTGAGTTTCTGACTTTGTTTCTTAGAATCGAGAGACATAACTCACAATTCTGACTTATTTCTCAAAATTACGAGAAAAAGTAAGAATTCTGAAATAAAAAGTTCTGTGGCAGAAACAAGCTTCCACATAATTGTTGATACAATTAAAATGCAATAATTATCTCCACGTTAACCTTTGCTGAATAGTGAAATCTATACAATATTAGCAGGTATTTTTATGTTATTAACAACAGTAGTTGTACTATTAGTAGTAGTGCATTAACTTAAATGGAAGCGAATTAAGGCCCTCATACATTCGTACACTTCATACACATTCACTTGTGTCATTACCTATGAATGTGAATGAGCGAGGAGATACTGTATCACTCAAATGATAAGAAGATTTTATTATGTAGTCATATACACAGACACAAAAGTGTATCTGCGTGGGTTCTTTCCTCTGTGAACATGCATCTGTTCTGAATGTTCATTTAGTAGGTATCAGTGCAGATGATGTATGTATAAAGGATGGAGATAGGATGAGTGGAGGCACACTGACCCTGTGTAGTGAAGTTTGTTTACACTGAGTGCAGGACATTATGTTCGTTTAGTTTCAATATATCAGTCAGTCAAAGCACTGGTGATTGAGGAAGGACACTCTGGGCCTCAGAGACTGTTTCACAGGTGTCAGTGCGGTCACAAGCTGACAGCATGTCAAAGTGCTTCACCTGGAGGCCATATTTGTGTACCTGATGCCTCTCTCATGGATTTCCACTGGATGCTTTTATGCTTTATATCAGTTATATTGTCAATTTGTGTAAGATGTAACTGCACAGATGAAGAAACCGAGTCCTCAGGTGACCAGACCAGCCACGTGAGACACATGTGGCAGCTCTCAATGAGGGATGCAAAAATGAGAGAGAAAGGTAAGATCAATCTGTACCAGCTTGTTTATTCAAAACACCTTTTTCACTATTCATGGGAATGTTAATCCAAATATATATGCGTGTATGTGTGTATATATGTGTGTGTGTGTGTGTGTGTGTGTGTGCGCACATTTTTTGTGACATATGAGGACACAAAATTGTATAATGACATGGGTATGACATAGGTATTACAAGGTATATATATATATATAGAAAGAAGAAATAGTTGATTAATCACAGCACATTAAGACAATTGTTTTGTATTGCAAATTTTCTGAAATGAATGTATGTAATGATTGTAAATATGGTAATTCTGGACTAAAATTGTTTAAAAGCCATTTTAAAACGTGATACAGAACTCAAGACCATGCTGTTTTGTGAATTTAACATGGTAAAAGATGTTGCACCTTAATGTCCTTTTACTGTGACTATATTCAGAATATAGCACAGCATCTCATACATCATTGCCTGAATATATGGTACATCAGTGGTTCTTCTGCAGCAAACTTCTAATTGGGCCTTAAGATGTCTAAAAATGACTTAAATTAAGACAAAGCATTAAAATAAGCTAAAACAGCTAAAAATCGTGACAGTTCTTAATTACATTCACCATCTCAACAACTGTCTTGAAAAACCAAGATATATGAGGTAGCCTAATTTCAACGTGTGATTTCTACACCTGGAATGGTTACATAAATTAATTTTAAAAATTTAATATACATTTTTATAGTTATACCAAACTCTAAAATAGTCTATCAGACTACAAAATGCATTTTAAAATCCTTATTATTAGTCCTTATCCATCAAATCACAAACAACTGGAAAAGTCATGGAGCCTTTGAATAAAGTCATGGGGCCTTGCAGTCAAAAAGGCTGAGAATGACTGCAGTGGATATGTCTGTGTGTCACATGACACTGTATTTTGTGTCATAAATAATGTGTGTACGTGCATTTGGCAAACATCCCAGTACTTTATTAATTTTTTATTACTATTAGCAGACTAATAGTAGGCCATCATGTTTTGTGATAATACATTTTTACACAGAGCTGCACAGATGACATGTGGTTTGACAGCTGAACGAATGACAGCTGTCTGTCTACTAGACTGCCTATATATAACAACATCTGTTGCTTAAAAACAGAATGAATGTACCAGCATACGGTTTGAAATACTATCTTACTAGCTACTACTGACTGAATACTGTATAGTACACAATGTATTTTTTAAGTACCATATGCTACATTGTTGCACATTTGCAAAAAGTCGCAGTAGGTCATCCAGGCATAAAATGCATACATAAATTCTCATATTTTGCATATGATACATAATAAGAACTATTAAGTGTAGTATGGTAGTATGCTATTCTGATACCTAGATATTTTTTTCTAAAGTTCGTTCGGTCACTTATATGCATGATATTCGATAAAAACAATGCTGAAATCATACTGATACTCCCTGACTTGTGCTGATACTGAGACCAGTGACACATGTTAGTGGCATGGCGGCTTTGATCACACATACAGCCATTCACACACAGGATCTGAGCTTCAGTATGCAGTTTGCATCAGGTCCTGTCTAGTTTAAAGTAATCAAAGACACAAGGACAGATCTGTGACGCATGCTGATAACTTTTCGCTGATAGCAAAACCACGATGCGAGTGTGTTTGCAGGGCAATTTGTACAATTTGTACAAGAGAACATGCACGCAATCATACAAGTTTGTTAGTAACCACTGATTATAAATATATTTAACTCAATACAATATGTTAACCAATGAGAACATAAAATAACAAACTTTTACAAAATAACCACCTTCAGCAGCCTTATCACCCTGGCTGTGTCTGAAATCATACTCTGTCTGAGTAGGTACATTTTTGAGTAAACAATTCCCCAGCATCTGTTAAAAAAAATAAGTTCTTTAGAATATGAATGTGTGTAGTTTGATTGTAATCTGGACGTACTACATCCGCCATGTTGTCATTGTCATGTCACCTACCAGCAACAGTTGTGTTGCTTCACTGTCATTCTCAAATCCTCTCCTATTGGCCTCATGGGATCTTAAAAACACATATTACTTTGTTCACATACTGTTTTTCTATGTAATAGGGAAGTGTGCGATTTCAGATGCCCCCCATCTTACCATCTAACTGTACATTTTATAGTTCAACATTTATTAGATGTTATTATTTTTACTCTTTGAATATCCCAGCAGCCATAGGGGAGTCTAATCCAGCTCGTCGTCAGCTCCTGTATTGCCGTGTTGGGATTGGTTTCCACCTACAGATTGTGATGAATGGCAGTGTTTGGGGCGTTCACGAGCCTTCTGAGTACAGTATGATTTATTTACCTAACCTTCATTAATACAGAGAAAGAATCCCTCATTTGCACATATTAAATTGTCAGAATAGTCTATGAATTGATCTTCTTTATATTGTTCCCATTTCTTTCATTTCTATTTAATAATGAGTGTTTCTTCATTCTCTTTTTGTCTTTAAGGCTTGCTGAGAGTGTTTGCTGTCAGGCCGGGCATAGTGGGTATCTGTGGTGTGAAGAGTGAACGATATTTGTGCATGAATCAGGAGGGAATTGCACATGGGATGGTGAGAAAGGTCATCCGTTACACAAGACGTGAAACTTAATGGCAAAACATTACATTTCTCAGAATCACATTTTACCCTGCAAAGGCTGATATATGAAACCAGTCAAAAAATCTAATGCTTTGTAATGTAACAGTTTATTAAACCTTTGCACAAAATATAAAAGAACATTTTCTGAATATGTTTTTGTGTCATATTTGATACATCAGGCATTATGGCTGATGTAGATTGATATAGAGGTCTAAACTATGCAATTTGCAATTTGGTGCAGATGTTGTTATTCATATGGCCAAAAAGTAAGATGAAATTCTGGTAGCTTGTGTAATGTAAATCATTGAGATCTTTATAACAGTATAGCAAACTACTGACAATGTGACTGCACATAAAATGCATATAATATCAGTTGTCACTCTGCAGCTCCCAATAATATGTCTTAGTAAGATAATATTTCATTGCTTAGTTTTATGATCAAAGCTCTGCAGGGCAAAACATATAATGCAATGGAATACAATGATGATTGAGAGATGAACAAAAAAACATTCCTCAAAAGCTTTATCATATACTCACATATTAACAAGAATTTTCTAAAAAAAAATGTATGGATAATCTTGAAATATTATTTCAATATTTCAAGAATATTACTAACAGTGTAAAAGTTATTCTCATGTTTAATTCATAAAAAGACAGCAAAGAGATACCATGACCTGAAGGTGGGCATGTTTACAATTATAGCAAAAGGCCTTTTACTTGCTAAAAAGTATCAATCAGCCAACCGAAGGAAAGTAGTAAATTGTGTGCAACAGGTTTTTCAGCCAATTTTGATCATGTCTATAATTTATATGCCTTAGAAAGTATTGATGTGGGCCTATCAAATGTGACACCGTAGGCTTTATAGGGTTAATTCTTACACCTATATGAAATAATAGTAATTTCAGCTATTTGAAAGGTATAATTACTATTCTTATCAAGTGCATCCTGAAATAATGACACATTTGCAAACGTATACATTAACATTATATCTCTTTTTTTTTGTAGAAGAACTTCTCAAATGAATGCCTGTTTAAAGAGCACATGGAGGAGAATCATTACAACACATACTCCTCCCTAAGCACAGGATTTTTCCTGGCTTTGTCGCAACAAGGGCAGCTGAGGAAAGGAAAAAAAGTGGGCCGGCACCAGGCATGCACTCACTTCCTGCCTCGCAAACCCTTATCTCATTAAACTCATTGGGCCCTATTTTAACGATCTAAGCGCATGGTCTAAAGCGCACGGCGCAGGTGCACTTAGGGCGTATCCGAATCCACTTTTGCTAGTTTAATGACGGGAAAAACGGTCGGCGTGGCGCATGGTCTAAAAGGGTTGACCCTATTCTCTTAATGAGTAATGGGTGTGTTTTGGGCATAACATGCAATAAACCAATCAGAGTCTCATCTCCCATTCCCTTTAAGAGCAGTTGTCATGCGCCATGGCGGATTCTCTATATGCAATGACTATCCATTATGACATGTAGGCATTTTTATATTTATGTAGCCTACACAATAATAATCTTTTACACTGCAATCCTTTAATTTTTAATATTTGGCATGTTTGTGTGCTGCTGTGTATGTGGTTGATAGCATGAGGTTTGGACTAATTTCTGCGTTGTTAACCATATTCTGTCAACGAGAGTTATTTCAAAATGTTGCTCCATGCTCGAAATGTCACCGAATTCTGATGAAGGGTGAAAGAAGTCTGTGAATTATGCACAGCTGTCACTTATTTTTGACATACTGCACATTTTATCCGTCAAATTAACCATAACTACAGGTGCATCTCAATAAATTAGAATGTCGTGGAAAAGTGAGCCAAAATCATCACAATTAAAAGAACCAAAGACTTAAACTACTTCAGTCTGTGTGCATTGAATTTATTTAATACACGAGTTTCACAATTTGAGTTGAATTACTGAAATAAATGAACTTTTCCATGACATTCTAATTTATTGAGATGCACCTGTATATTTGTCTGTATTTATTTTCAATGTGTAAATTGATAAATGACTTGTGAATGTGACATCTTTATCTGTATATGATATCTTCATAATTTGTGTTTATAATGAATGTTTAAATATGTACATATTTATTTGTCTCTGTGTGTATAATTTAATTGTAAATGAGATCTAAATATATACTAGTGTTATTTTAGTATTATTTATATACTATTATTTTTTTGTTTTTTTTAATTAGCTATTATTTTATGTCATTATTTTGTTTTTTTATATTTCTATTTAGTTATTTTAGTACTTCAACTTAAATTGTCAAACTGTCAACTTTTCTAATTTTCATAATAATTTGTAAAATTTATGTTTTCATCTATTATTTATTTTTTATTGCAACTTTTCAATGACTAAAATGTTTTTTTAATAGTTTTAGGTAACAATAACAACAACTAATACAGACTTCGGGATTTTCTGTGAACCATTTTGTCCTGCATAAGTTTGATATGTATGATTTTACTACTATGTAGTGGATGTCAAGTTCTCAGCAAACTGCTATATTTGATCTCATTGTATTGAATGAAATAAACCTGATCCATCTGACAGTTCTGAACTCCAAATAAAGATGAACATGCTGAATAACAGTGAATTTTGGACTCCTTACTGAATAAAGGACCGTTCACACCAAGAACGATAACTATAAAGATAACTATAAGTATAATTATATTAGCATCCACACCAGCGGACGATATCATCTGTCTGTTCTAAGCACAAAATTCTCGAGCTTGTTATAGCAGGATTGATTCTGATGTTTTTATCTTCCATCAGCTGGAAAAATTTCTTATAGTGATTCCAATCATATCGTTTCTCTCTGTCTTTATCGTTATAGCTGTGGTGTGGACTCTGCTATTCTTTAATATTGAGAATGATTTTTAGAACTGTATCTTTATCATGATATTTATTGTCCTTGGTGTGAACAGGCCTTAAGACATGACAGGTAAATAGGTGGAAAAACAGGCTAGTCTTCCATAGAGCTCTCCAATAACAACAGCTCCAAAACACTACCTGACAGAAACAAGCATAACCCCCCCCTACATGCATAATCATTATTAATATACCAATACATTTACATGCCAACGATGGCCCCCAAAATGTTGTTGTGTAAACGTCCCTTTATTATGTTGGCTCCGTGAGAGAGGAGCAAGGCCGGTGGTGCCAGTGTTAATGAGAAACACCTGCGACACACAGGTCTCGAGTCTGGTGTGTTTGCACAGGTGTTGCTCATTTTCACACTGGCACCACCGGCCTCGCCTCTCTCCCACGGCTCTCACCTGCCCTGCTACACGTCACAAAGCCCTTCATCCCTTCTCTCTTCAAACTATCAAAACATTTAAAGGACACAAGGTTTATGTAACCTTCAAACTACAAATTTCTCTCTCAATCTGTCCAATTACTCAAACTAGCTAAGGCCTTCAAACTGTGTTAAACTCACAGAAGGTTTTGTTATGCCAACATTCAAAGTTTGTCTATTAGCATTGTGCTCAGAATTGTGTATTTATGCAAATACAGTCATTAACCACAAACAAATGCTGAAAATAAACCCAGACTAACGCCATCTTTCGTTCACTTTCCGACCTATGCTTTTCCTGGACTTTGTCTTGACCAAATGGCCTTAAGGTCTCACAATCACAGCCGATTCCATGTCAGTTTTCATTTCATCACAACGAATCATTATAAAGTCTATCTTTTCTATATCTCCTATCTTTAAAGGCCCTACATGCACCTTTGCATTTTAATCAGGGCCACAGGCCTCTCTGTAAGCTGAGCTGTATAGTGAGAGATGCTGGGTCATCTGATCCCTTCTCACAATGACACAACATCTCAGATGTCCCTCTCTGTCTCAGTGTGTAATAGTGAGAGTTAAGAAGACCAGAGGAGACCCAAAATGAAGAGATCAACAGAAAGACAAAATTTCAAGCTAATCAGACACCAAAGACTTTATAACTCTATTAGGTAAATTAGATGTGTTGAACTTTTGTGTGTTGTTTGTTTGGTCCATTATCATAGTGTGCTATATTACAATCTACCTTCCTTACTCCTTAACTCTTCTGCTGTCTTTCCCCAGTCAGATCTAAAATCTGCTGTATATGTTTGAGTGCTGTTAAGATAAGTGTATGAAGTAAGTCATGGCTAATTCAGAGGAGCTGGAGTCTACAGCAGGTGTAGATGTTGGGGCTAATATAAATGGAGAATCTATTTCCTGTAGACACACAACACAAACAGATGGACAGGTAAGACCACAGAGCAACTCATTTATGTTTGCAGGTACCAGCTGTAATCATCCTATCTGCCCTACGGGACTGAAAAAAACAACAAACAAAAAAACAGCAATTAATACAAAGACTGAAATAGCATTTTCTTGTAAAATGTACTCCAATAATCTTTGAAAAAAAAATTTCAGTGTAGTATTCTTCTGATCTCTAAAAAATGCTGGGTTAATATAACCCAGTGCTGGGTAAAATATGGACAAACCCAAAAATATGGACAAATTTTGACCCAGCGGTGGGGTTAAATGTTTAACCTAACCTTCTGGGTAGTAACCCAACTGCTGGGTCAAAATAACCCAATTGCTGGGTTTGTCCATATTTTACCCAGCACTGGGTTGTATTTAACCCAGCATTTTTTTAGAGTGAAATCTTGATCATGCTTTATGATGAATTTATTTCAAAATACTGTAAATGCTGACATCAACAACAAAACATATGGAAAGAATTTTTGGTAGCACTTTATTTTACAGTCCTGTTATGCATTTACATACTATGTACCTGTAATTGTAATTACAGTAACTGGGTAATAACTAAGTACTAACCCCGAACTTACCCTAAACATATCCTTAACCCATGTAGTTATAATACCAGGTACTTTCTTAGGTAAGCAAACTCTAAGTAGAGGTAAGTACACATATTATAAAATAGAGTGCAACTGAATTTTCTTCTCCCTTTTAAAAGTTAACATTTTAGTGTTAGCATTTAGCATTGTTTTTTTCTTTGATGTCTCATCAGAACAGATCCAACCTACTAGTTGAGAGAAACTTTTTAGTTCATTAACTGAGTAGTTATATACTTTTTTTACTCAGTTAATTAAAATAATTCTGCAATAAAAAAAATCAAATATAAATATTAATTGATTTTTTTATATAAATTTGAATAGCTGAAGTACTAAAATTACTATAACCAAAGCTGAAATAATAACTAAGATAAACAGAAATATTTTAAAACATACAAAATAAAAGATGATTCATCAGATCAATAAGTACTAGTATTTAAATAATAAAACAACAGTGGTTTGCTATATAGAATAAATGAAATAGCATCTAAGAAAAATCTGTATAAATGATACTTAAGGAAGAATGCTGGATCACTTTGGGGTCTTCATGCTTCCACACAGCGAGCAACCGATCAGATATGTCCTGAGAAAATAGAGGTGGTCTCTGTAACCGAGGAGGACATTCCTGCTGTGGATACCCCAACCCTGCTCAAGGCCAGTCCGCTGGACAGTTCAAGTGCCAGTCCTGCACCAGATGACAGCACCGTCAAACCAACCAAAGGCCCTCTAACAGAAACCCCCTCAGCCCAGCCCAGCCTTTCAATGCCAGTTACTAAAGTCCAGCCCTTTGTTACAGGTAATGACCATCACAATGTGTACTCAATTCCATGTTGTACACTAGTTTTCTCCTGATCTTGACAAAATTAAAAACCAAACAACATTAGCATAGTTTATGGCTGCCAGACGCATTAGTCCAAACTCACCCAAGAACATTTTAGTTATGCGATACATTGACCCTAATTGTTTAAGCTTGTTGCATTCAGGCATTTGCACTAGATAGTAAAATACACAAAGAGATTTCGCTATTTCTGTAGCTCAACTAGTGACACATGATGTCAACATCAAGATTGTGGGTTCAACCCCCAGCGAAAGTACATACCGATAAAATGTATCAAGTGTCTGCTAAATGTATAAATATGAGTCTCTCTCATCTCATGCATCTTATCATCTCATGAAACTGATATCATTCTAGCAGAGGAGAAAACACTCAAGGGAAGCCTGTTTGCACACAGGATGGAGATACTTATTGGGGCTTGTGTCCTGCTCACCCTCAGTATTGTGCTTGTAGTTGGATTGAGCGGTGAGTAAATGTCTTTAGGGAGTACTTAATACACCCAGAGATGTACAGTAACGGAGTACA